TAAGATTGCTTCAAGGTCAATGTCTCTAGCGTTTAACGGCATGGAGTTTTACTCTTGTATCTTTCTTTGTAAGATTTTAATCCATCACAAAAAGTTCACATTTCAGATATACACCTAGAGACATGTAGGTAAACATTTTTAAATAAAATGTAAATGCACATTCAAAAAATTCGTCAAGGTTGTAACTTAATTAAAAGAGTAGCTTGTAGATATACCTTCAACACAAGCCACTCAGCAACCTACCTTCTGCCCACTCGAATGCTGATGGCGCTTTAGGCCAAAGGTGTGTGTAAAAGGCATTTTACTTTTGTCTGAGTTTGGAAAGACTGGCCAGTTCTGTTCATCTCAGAAGTGATTTGAATGTTTCTCCTGAATTAGATAGTTCCAAGGGACTGATTCTAAATGCCGTAGTTTTATTTTCTTCTTTGCAATGTTAGGATTCACAATAACATCGCTCACTCTTTCTGTATCTTGTGCATAATTGGGACCCAACCCAGCAGCCTGGCCACTTCCTGTGGGCACGCTTACTGGCCTGACCTTGCCTGCCCCTGCCCCCCTTCCTAAGGGTGGATTTCCCCTGTTCCGATGTTGTCACCCTGCCTTTTTCCCAGGGCCTTGCCCGGCTTCCTCCCTGCCTCTGTTCCCTGGAAGCAGAGTGGCTGCAGCTGTGGGCTCCAGGGACTCACCAGCCAAAGCTCCAGCTCTGTGGCCAGGCTGGTCAGGCTGTCTGGGCCTCGGTGGGCCAGGCCACTCCCAAAGACTCATTTCTCCCACAGTAAACATATGGCCATCACGGGCCTTCCTTTCTGGAGCAGAAAACATGGTACAGCACTTCCCAGGACTGGAAGGATTTTAAGGAATAATCCAGTATCATTTATTGCCATCCACAGAATGCCTTTCCTACTTCCTTCCTATGCTACTGGAATTACATTCACTGGGAAGAAGGAGATATAGCAAAAAAACCAAAAACAAAACACAAAAACAGGCATAGTGGCTCACGCCTGTAATGCTGTAATACCAGCACTTTGGGAGGCCAAGGCAGCCGAATCACTTGAGCCCAGAAGTTCGAGACCAGTCTGGGCAACCTCAAGAGACCCTGTCTCTATAAAAAATACAAAATTAGTGGGATGTGGTGGCATACACCTGTAGTCACAGCTACTCAGGGTAGTGGGGGGCTGAGGCAGAAAGACTGCTTGAGCCCGGGAGATCATGCCACTGAACTCCAGTGGGCTATAGAGTGGGACCTTCTCTCAATTTAAGAAAAAATAAATAAAACAAGCAGACAAACATATATTGCAATGTAGGGTGGCTTCCCTTGGGAGGCCTAGCCAGGAGTGGGCTCAGAAGCCCTGGGTCAGCATCCCTGCTGCCCTGCCTCTTCACTCTGTGATGCTGGTCCAGAGCCTCACCAAGCCGCAGTGCCCTCATCTTTAAAGTGGGTCTCACAGGCCAGACATGATGGCACATGCCTGTAATCCCAGCACTCTGGGAGGCTGAAGTGGGTGCATCACTTGAGGTCAGGATTTCGAGACCAGCCCAGTCAACATGACGAAACTCCGTCTCTACTAAATGTACCAAGATTAGCCAGGCATGGTCACAGGTGCCTGTAATCCCAGCTACTCAGGAGGCTGAGGCAGGAGAATCACTTGAACCTGGAAAGTGGAGGCTGCAGTGAGACGAGATCCCGCCACTGCACTCCAGCCTGGGCAACAAAGCAAGACTGCATCTCAAAAAATAATAAATAAATAAAAATAATAAAGCGGGTCTTGCCTTACCTAAGAGGATAGTTGTTAGATGTGGGAGAGACCCCATAGGCAGCCCCAAGGTACTCCACAGCCCAGTAAATCTAAGATTCACTCTCTTTCCCCCTGCTGAGGACAATGCCATTCAAGAGAACAACAGGAAGCTTTCCAGTGAGTGTGCAGATGTGTGTCAGCTTCTCACTGACCCCACTTCTCGGATCTGTCTGCTCAAACCCACTCCCCCAACCCCTAGCTTTTAAATGTGCCCCTTTCACATTTTCAGAGCTCTCGCTCAATATTCCAGTAGCCATTGGCATCCCAGTGTTGGCCTAATGGAAGTCTTCACTTGGTAAAGGTTTACTTTAGAGAACATTATCATTGGTTTTTGCACTGATTCTTTAAGACACTGATAACTGTGGTTTCATACTATCATGTGTGAGCCAAAAACCATAAAATTCGTGATCTATTTGTAATACAAAAATTATCAGAATGTGGTAGGGCACACCTATAGTCCCGGCTGCTCAGGAGGCTGAGGCAGGACTGTCTGAGCCCAGGAGGTTGAGGCTGCAGTGAGCCATGATGCACGACTGCACAATAAGGTGTGTCATGGCTCACTGCAGCCTCAACCTCCTGGGCTCAGACAGTCCTGAGTTCCTTGTATTCTTGCCCTATTTTTTAAAAAATTAGCTCCAAGTTTAATTTCAAATTATGATTTGCATTTGATTGGGGTTGTCAATTGTGTAGCCATTGACTGAGTGTCAGCAGGTTCTACCCCAGACTGGTCTTTTCCCATGTGGCTTTAGTCTGGTTTGACCCAAGCCTGCTGCCCCTGTCTACAGCCCTGCTCCAGAAGCTTCTGCATAGCACTGGGTTTTATTTTACATTAAAGGAAATCGGCATTGCATTGGAAGATCGGTTTGATCATTTCTATCAATTGTCTTGAGATATTGGAGGTAGAACTTCCATTCCTGGCTTTTCCCTTGCTTGGCCCCAGTTAAACACCATGGGTCACTCTTTTTAGTGTCTTTTCTGGTTCATTTTGGGGAGTGGAAAGGATGGACTCTTGTAATAAGTTATTCTTACCAAAAAGCAGTTCCCTTATCTGCAGTGATCCAAAAATAATCATTTCTTGCCCAAAATCTGATGCACTGTCAATGCCCTGCCATGGTGCTTTATGTTATACTGGGCTCTGCTGCACCCTGGAAACCCTCTGTGCTTTTATGTTACTCAACAGATTTTCCCCACTTGTTTCATATAGCTGCCCCAGTAGATGCTTTGGCATTATATAGACTGTCTTTTAAATTTTATTTATAATTGCTGTTAGTATATACAAATCTTTTTTTTTTTTATTAGTAACTTTGCACCTTGGGACCTTAACTCACATATTGCCTCTAGTGGCTATTTTTGAATCCTTTGGGATTTTATATGTAGACAATTAGTCATCTGGGAATAAAGTTGTATTTATTTTTTCTTTTCAATGCTTATGTCTTTTAATTCTTTTTCCTAACTCATTGCATTGGCTATGATTCCCAGGACAATGATAAATAGGAGGGGGACAAATCCTTGCTTTGTTCCCAGTGCTTGGGGGGGTAGTATTAAGGCTTTCATTATTAAGAATAATTTGAGCTGTAGATTTACCCAAATAGACTTAAAATTCCGTAGTAACCAGAAGTATTTTTTCTGCTTCTTGGGCTTCAAACATATTTCATGGATTAACTTTTAAATGCATAACAATGTAACAATTTATAACAACTTATAATTGCGTGCTGTGGCATCTTGATTTGATTCGATTTAAAATATCTAGTTTTGTCAGGACTAAGATAGCAAATAGTCTATTTTAGTGGGAAACATCATGTGCTTCATTCACGATCTAAAAGTAGTGACAATCAAAAAACATGGCTCTACCCTTCAGCAGTGCAGACACACAGTGACGACTGAGCAAGGTCTCATGCACAGGTAGATAGTAGCCTAATCAATAATCCCAGTGTGAGGCTGCCATGCTGGCCACTCAGAGCAGAACAGGCGAACTAAGTCCATCCACTGAGGAATGGGTCAACAAAATGTGATATATCCATGCAGTGGAATATTATTCAGCCATTAAAAGGGATGGAATATGGTACATGCTACAATAAGGGTGAATCTCAAAAACATAATGCTATTATAAGTGAAAGAAGCCCATCACAGAAGGCCACATATAGTATGAGTCCATTTATATGAAATACCCAGAATAGGCAAATCATAAAGACAGAAAGTAGATTGATGTTACCAGGGGCTGGGGGCAGGATGGAGCTTGGGAGCTAGTGAGCTAGGAGTGGGCGTGGAGTCTCTTTTCAAATAATAAAAATGTTCTAATATTAGATTACACTGATGGTTTCAAGCTGGGGGAATATACTAAAAACTATTGAATTGAACACTTTAAACAAGTAAACTTTATGGTATGAAAATTATATTTCAATAAAACTGTTTTTTTTTTTTTTAAAAAAAAAAAGAACATGAGAGCTAAATTAATGGGAGGCTGGGCGTGGTGGCTTATGCCTGTAATCCCAGCACTTTGGGATCCCAAGGTGGGCAGATCACTTGAGGCCAGGAGTTCGAGACCAGCATGGCCAACATGGTGAAACCCCATCTCTACTAAAAATATAAAAATTAGCCAGGCATGGTGGCATGTACCTGTAATTCCAGCTACTCAGAAGGCTGAGGCAGGAGAATCATTTGAACCGTAAGGTGAAGGTTGTAGTGAGCTGAGATTGTGCTGCTACACTCCAGCCTGAGGGACAGAGCAAGGCTCTAGCTCCAAAAAGTAAAAATAAAAATAAAAAATTAATTAATTAAGGGGAATGATCAAGCTAGATAATGATTAAGCTAGAAAACTGGGGAAAGGGAGCTGCTCCCGACCGGGTTGTAAAAGGCTCTTTTGAGGGGAGGATGGGCTACAGGAACTGCTTCCGAGAGAGGGAACCCTGTAGACCACGGCAGAGGCAGCTGACTGATGGAGCATCTTGGGAGCTAGGTCGGTGGCCACACCCCACCATCAACTGACCATGAGAGGTTGTATTAAAGTTTGGGGTAGGACACGGTTAAAAGCTGATGCTTGCAGCGGAAAGACGTAGAATCTAGATAAAGTGGTCTCTGGGCGACCCTGAACCATGAAGCAAACATGGGAGATTCAACCAGTGCTGTGCCCCAGGGAGTGGCTAGAATTAGCAGCCGACTCCTGTGAACCAGAAAACTAACTTTGTTTTCTTCTTTCTTTTTCAGACTATAGCCTTCACTTTCCCTCGGTGAGTACAAAACTTTTAAAAAATTACCTCTGATGTACAGATAACTAGCTTAAAATGATATGTGGGACTTAGTTTTCAGAGGACCATTGTTTTCTTGATAAGAAAGCCATATGGTCAGCGTGTTTATTTGAATTTTATGCCTTACCTTGCTTGAACAGGCTCATAGCACACTTTTTTGCTACATTGTGTGTGTGTGTGTGTGTGTGTGTGTGTGTGTGTGTGTGTGTGTTTGAGAAATTTGGCTCAGCTGCTCGGTCTCTTGAAATGTATTGTTGAGGACACAATTTCTACACACTTTCCTTTCACTGACTTGTCATTGCTTTTGAAAGGGCCTAACCTTATCTCAATGGCACACATCCGACCACTGTTAGGAGCACAGTGGCACATACCTGCATTGATGGTAACTGCTTCTTAAATTGATCTGTGCCAGGGAACACTGCTGAAAAGGAGCTTCCCTGGATTGCTCTCTCGGTAAAAGCAATGTCGGGGTGTCACATAATTATATGCCTTTTGGGTCCAGGCAATGGCAAAATTCCATGGCCTTGATGTCCTTAGAAAAAGAAAGCTTTAAACAGCATAGCCCTTTTGCAGTCTACTTCATCAATTTAATGCTGTTAAGTTTCCTAAACAAATCAAAGGAAGAAAATCTAAGTGCTTTCTCAGTGGCTGCAGCACGCGGGCAAGTGGAGCATGGACTTCCAGGTGCACTTGCTTTCAGGAGGCACCATGATGCCGGCCGCCAGGAAGCCATACTTCCTAAATGTATCGCCTTGTTTGAAAGGCACTGACTCTGTTCTGGAATCATTTTCAGTTCAATGGATCAATTATTGTGCCCTGGCTGGCCCTCTCTTTCAGGCAGTGTGCCCTTCGTGGCACTGTTCCATCTGGGCATAAATCCTTACGGTCATTTCTTGGTGTGATCAAACATATTTTGATTCTGTGGATTGTTTCTTTCTTTCTAGGTAAGGAATGTTAAATAAAAGTAATGATTGATTACGCTAGAGAAGAGGGATGCCTTCATTTGCCACCTACTAAGTTAATTTTGTTGTCCATGTTCTCCACTGCTTCATTATAAGACGTTGTTGATTCTGAACGGTGAACTCTTCTTGAGTAAACGTCAGCAGTGGGATCAAAGAGAAGGATCGTTACTGGAATCATATTTACGGGATGGAGAATTAACTATAAGAAATCTGCAATCCCTTATTGCCTCAGAATCCTATACAAGGGGTGTTGGCTGGTCAATATTGGTTTGAATGCATATTAAATATGGCTCTCCTCAAAAGCAATGGAGCTGTGTGCGTTATCAAATGTGAATGTGCCTACTGCACTGGAATGAAATATTTGAGTGTCAGACCCCATAGATATATCTCGTTTTCAAATGCAGGGCACAGATTATGATTTGTTATAAGTGTGTGTCCTTTGCAACCCTTGCCTCTCCACTCAGTACTGGCCCCTCTGCACCCCATTTTGCCTTTTGCCACTTCCAAAATTTCCTAGGGCCCCTCCCCTCCACCCCAAGTTGACTTGCTGGCCGTCCGTAAGCCAGCAGCTCTCACAGCTGAGTGATCCTGTGACAGGTGCTCCTGGGGCTCCTCCACCTCCTGGCATTGTCTCAAAACCAGCAAGAGATTCAGAAGTGGATGCCCCACCCAAAGGTCCCTGAGAAGTGTCCAAGAGCTGACTTCCTGTCCTCTCTGCATTCACCATGGGTTGGCAGCCAGAGTGGCTTCAGGGGGCACCTCCCACTTCCCGGCCCCATCCTTTGCCTCCATTTCGGTGGGAAAGTAAAGCTTTACTTCAGGAAGATGCTGAGTTCCTAGATTAAAGGTACTTCTGATTCCAGAAGTCTTTCTCTCGACATGAAGAAAGGGTTTTCAAAGCCTGGGTCTCCTATCTGTGCTGCCTTGTCTGCTGCCTTCATTTGTGACCTGCCCCCACTGGGCCACTGATATGCTTTTGCTCTGTGTCCCCACCGAAATCTCCTCTAGAATTGTTTTGATAATTCCCATATGTTGTGGGAGGGACCTGGTGGGAGGTAATTGCATCACGGGAGCAGTTTCCCCCCTACTGTTCTCGTGGTGGTAAATAAGTCTCACGAGATTATGATGGTTTTTTAAGAAGTTTTCACTTTCGCTTCTTCCTCATTCTCTTCTCTTGTCTGCGCCATGCAAGATGCGCCTTCCACCTTCCACCATGACTGTGAGGGCTCCTCATCCACAGGGAGCTGTGAGTCCAATAGGCCTCTTCCTTTTGTAAATTTCCCAGTCTTGGGTCTGTCTTTATCAGCATCATGAAAACGGACTAATACAGCTGCCAAAGTAGAATACCAGACTGGTCTATGAGCCCGTTGCATTTTCTCTGCTAAGCGTTTGAAACTCGTGCAGAGCTTCAGGATATCTATTAATGGAAGGGAACTTACTTCTTGTTTCCATTCAAGATTCAGAGACGTGCTTTTGAGTCAGTTAGAACTAAAAAGATAGGCCACCTTGGTCAGGGCAGGTAAGCCCCCTAAGGCTGGAGATGGTGCCATGGCCACTGCCCACACTGGCCAGCTGACTGCGGAGGAGCCTAGCCACATGTGCTGGATGAACACGTCAGCCTGTGTGAGCCTTCTTTTCTTTCATCTATCAATCACTTCCTAGAATGTGATATGATATTTAAGCGTGATGACCCAAGGTACGCATTGAATAAAAGCTATCTATGGCTGGGCACAGTGGCTCACGCCTATAATCCCAGCACTTTGGGAGGCTGAGGCAGGTGGGTCACTTGAGATCAGAAGTTCAAGACCAGCCTCGTCAACATGGTGAAACCGTCTCTTCTAAAAATACAAAAATTAGCCGGGAGGTCGTGACGTGCACCTGTAATCCCAGCTACTTGGGAGGCTGAGGCAGGAGAATTGCTTGAGCCTGGGAGGTGGAGGCTGCAGTGAGCAGAGATTGTACCACTGTACTCCAGCCTGGGTGACAGAGTGAGACCCTGTCTCAAAAAAAGTAAAAATAAAAAAATAAAGCTCGCTCTGGTTATCACTTCTGCTTTTATTATGATCATCACCACAGAATCATGGCAACTGTTTTCAACTTTTAAAAAAGGCATTTAACTGGATTCTAACATATATGCTGGTACTATAGTGGGAATCAAAAGGAGTTCCCTTTACTAGCAGTAATCCAATTTTTCACTTAAAAAATATATTATATTTGACATCCAGGCCAGATGCGGTGGCTCATGCCTCTTCCCAGCACTTTGGGAGGTCAAGGTGGGAGGATCAGCTGAGGTCAGGAGTTCAAGACCAGCCCGGCCAACATGGTGAAACCCTGTTTCTACTGAAAATACAAAAATTAGCCAGGTGTGGTGGCTGGTACCTGTAATCCAAGCTACTTGACAGGCTGAGGCATGAGAATTGCTTAAACCTGGGAGGCAGAGGTTGCAGTGAGCCAAGATCTCACCACTGCACGCTAGCCTGTGAGAAAGAGCGAGACTCTCTCAAAAAAAAATTGACATCCAAAAAAATGAGTCATGCCTTTTTTCCTGTTAAACTGAATTAGGAGGGATCTCTGAGTGGAGTCACTCATTCCCATGTTTTCCTTTCCTTTTTCTTTGTCTTTAACAATAGATTTGTGAAAATGACACTTGTATTTCCTATCAGTGATCCAATATGACCAAAGTTCCTTCAGCTGGAGAATGCTTGCAACTCTGTGGGTCTCTTGCATAGTATTTAATGTAATGGAATTTCAGAATTAAGAATTTATCTGTAATCCCAGCACTTTGGGAGGCCGAGGCAGGTGAATCACGAGGTCAAGAGATTGAGACCATCCTGGTCAATGTGGTGAAACCCCGTCTCTACTAAAAATACAAAAAAAAAAAAAAAAAAAATCAGCTGGGCATGGTGGCGCGTGCCTGTAATCCCAGCTACTCAGGAGACTGAGGCAGGAGAATTGCCTGAACCCAGAAGGCGGAGGTTGCGGTGAGCTGAGATCGTGCCATTGCACTCCAACCTGGGTAACAAGAGCGAAACTCTGTCTCAAAAAAAAAAAAAAAAAAGAATTTATAAAAGACATATAATTAAGGTTTAAATATTTTCTCCAGCCTCTTTGAGGTCTTACATTGTTATACCTAAGGGTGTCTACTAGTAAGAAGGATTCAATGATACTTCAATGATACTGTAACTTGACTGTTTCTCGTTGGTTCATGGAAATACCCAAGGAATAAAAGAAAATGAAATTAAAGTGTGAATATTCAGCAACTGTGTGTTTCCATTTTAAATGTACTTAGGCTTCCCCTCGCTTGCTTGCTCTTCTTTAGTAAACTCTGTTTCCTCCTCTGGCACTTTTAAGAAGTAAGATTTTTTTCTCTTCTGACTCATTTGTGTTTCTTGATGTTGATTTGAACAGCTACCATGACAGAAAAAAAAAAAAACTGTTGGTTTTAAAATAAAGTTCAGGGTTCTGACAGGCAGGGGGACCACTCCAAGCTCGCTTCTGGATGGAGCACTGGGGTGATGTCTCCAGTAGGGCAGAAGCTACATGCCCTGGGCCAGCCTTCAGCATCCCAGAAAGAAGCGAGAAGCCTGGTTGGTGGGCAGAGCGCATAAAAAATGACAACTTTCTAGGACGTGTGATTCCTGTTTCCCTTCTTCATCCCATACTTGGGGTTTTTTTGTTTTGTTTTGTTTTGTTTTTGAGACGAAGTTTCACTCTTGTTACCCAGGCTGGAGTGCAATGGCCCGATCTCAGTTCACTGCAACCTCCGCCTCCTGGGTTCAGGCAATTCTCCCGCCTCAGCCTCCTGAGTAGCTGGGATTACAGGCAAGCACCACCATGCCCAGCTAATTTTGTGTATTTTTAGTAGAGACGGGGTTTCACCATGTTGACCAGGATGGTCTCGATCTCTTGACCTCGTGATCCACCCACCTCAGCCTCCCAAAGTGCTGGGATGACAGGCGTGAGCCACCGCGCCCGGCCCCATACTTGGGTTTTTTATTAGCACCAGTGGATTCCACAGGC